ATTTCATTCAGAGTGATAATGCTCTCTGCTTGCAAACAGTTTCAAGTGTAAAAAAAATAAAGGTCAAAACCACATACATATGAACATGCTGGTTTCTCTCTTCATGTGACCTTTTCAGTAAGCACTCCCCATAACTTACATTTAACACTGAAGAAATACAAGTTTGTGGGTAACTCCAATATGGACTTATAAAAACATGTTCACAGCAGTTGTGTTAGGTTTCAGCTTGCCTTGCATACATTCTTAAACAAAAAGGCATTATAATGAATTCTGCATTAAAGAACCCATTTTTCTCTGCATTCATGCTGTAAATATTTTAATAGAGTCACTAGCTGGAAAAGGCTTTACTATTTTAAAAGCATGATAACTTAAAAATATCAATTGAAAATTATGCTGTTGCAATCATCAAGGAAATATCATCACTAAAACATTAGTCACATTTAGACAAGATTAAGTTGCCTCGAGTTAGGTGTCATGATGCTTATCATAGCCTGGTCCACACTTGAAAGCTTTACCAACACCACACCTCTGTCGGCACAGCCCAAACCCCATGATTTGGCCTTGCCTACAACACACACCATCATCATTGTGCTTGTAACTTGTTAAAAATAAAATTTAAGCACAATTCAATTTCCTAGCGAAGAGAGGAGGAGCTATGCTAGGACTAAATTGCATAACAACATTTAGGGGGCACAGCTACTTCCACAGCCCAGTTTCCAGACAGTCCCAGTGCTCCTCACAAAATGCCATGTTTAAACCTGAAGATATTCTACCTACAATAATTACAACACTTAAGATTACTATGAGGTTCTTACCCACGAAAGCTTATGCTCCCAATACTTCTGTTAGTCTTAAAGGTGCCACAGGACCCTCTGTTGCTTTTTATAAACTATAGGATTACAGAATTATTATTTTTTTTTTTAGTTACCTTGTGTATTTGACCAGGGAATATATTGTCAGTTTCACTATTTCCCTCTACAGTCAGTTCATCCCTCAAATGAAAAAAAAAAACCCTCTGTAATTATTTAAAGGAGATCAGCAAAATCCTTATTTTTTTTTTAAAGAAATTTGTGTTCTGAATCTTTAAAAATTAGAGGGTGTTTTAACAAACTAGATTTTTTTTAAACTGAGTCAATTTAAAAAGAGGTTAGGTTGACAACTTTTTCTAGCACCAAAGCAAAAATATCTTGAGCAAATCCCCAGTGTTAACAGTACTTGAAGGAATAGGATAATACCCACCCAACCTCCAAAGAACTGGAGTCACAATGAAAACATATGCCCTTTATACTGCTATAACAAAAATGTTACATGCATACAAGTCCACATACTGTCTTAATGATGTGCATTTGTTTTTTTAACACATGAATTCATCAGGAAGAACAGCTAGAAAAGATTCCCCTTAAAATTAACTATTTCTAAAATGAAAAGACTTTCTTGGAATTAGAATTCAAAGCCCAAGAGATATGGCCTCGTGCGAGAACTATTAATGAGCTGCATCTTTCTTATAGCTATTGTTCTTCAAAACAAACTAAGAGAATTTTTTCACTTCAAGGTCCCAGAAACAAAGGCAAGGTTTTCATCTCGAGGCCAAAAGACCAAAACATCAAGACACTTGATCACGGCCTTGGATAGACCAAGAGACTACCTACACTTGACCAGAGACATCTCAACCACAGATTGCTGTGAAATACATAACATCTACAATTACAATAAATCGTTTCTTTAAAAGACAGAGATGGAAAAGACTCACTTGTCCAGGATAACAAGCATGCCTCTAGATGTATGGATGCCCAGGAAAAAGAAAACTATTGCTGCTTTCCCCAGAAAGTAAGGGGAAGTCAAGGTACGCATGTGTATGGTTAGAGTAGGACAAACCCAGAGAAGAGCACTGGGAGCATCTCTGCTCCCACTCTGTCTCCTAACTTATTTCCAGTCTTGCCCTTCTCCCTGCGAAAAGGGATAACTCTCCCAAATGTTACTGGGTAGGTAAGAGGCAAGCTTCTCCCTATTTCAGCATGGGCCTGCAGAGGCAGCATTGTAAGTACCACAGGCCAATCAAGAGGGTGTAGCCTCTCCTTGAGTGAGGAGGCTGTGAAGAGAATCCTAGCTCAACTTACTGGAAAGAAGAGCTTGGCAGGCAGCTACCACTATATATAGTGGTGAAGAGAAGCCCGATAAGATATGCATGAAAAGGAGAGGGAAACTGATATAGTCTTCATGGAAATAACTGAGGAATGGCTTTAGGAAGGCTATTTCAGACAAGATATTTTAAACAGGCTAGCTGGTTAAATGTTCAGGCTACTAGAGATCAGTGAAGCTTTGCAAACTCTGACTAACTCATCCTTGGAGATAAACTGAATGGTCATGAAAGGTGCAAGTTTGACAGTCCTGGAGAATTAGGTCTTCAATTTTATTTAGTAATCAGAGGATGTGATTTTGAGTTTGAAAATTTTGCCATATATCAGGAGTAAAAATGCTTTATGTTACTGGAATGATGGGAATTCCAGCATATTCACTGTAAAGAGCATTTGTTTACAATCCCAATGGTTGGAATATCATGAGACAGGACTTAAAAGACTGTCAGTGGTACCTCAACCTATCAGCGCTTTCCTGGGCACTGGTCCAAGGCTGAAAATAGCAAGTCCTGGACCTAAGACTTCTGGATGTTTTACATTCGGCTTTCACTACTGCAGAGGAATATGGTTAATAAAAAATTCATTACAATGCATGTTATATCCCTACTAATTCTGTCAATTTCAAGCTCCATGTGGTCTCTAAGGAGAATGACTAGTTCCCCTCACACTGACTTAGTGAGTCTAGCTTTTGCATTAGTGGTAAAAAGTTGTAAAGAGAAAAACATTCAATCATTTTTTTTAATTTGTAAAAACTGACCATCTTGGAGTTCTTGTGGACGATCCTACACAGTCTACACCACAATGGTAATGTTTCTCAATGTCCACTCCAAATTACCTCACTTTTATCGTTTGAAACCTAAACCACAGATCCTCCTAATGAACTCCAAACCCCTACCCCATTAGCAATGATTGCACTTTGGCCCAAAAGGTAGTGGCTAGAAGGTTAGAGAGTGGGGACGGAACAGAATTTATCACCTAGAAAGTCTGATACGTCTCAGGAATGGAATTAACAACCTTTGATTTCAGATGGGACACACTCCTATGAATGGATACTCAGGACCAAGCATGAAAGTGAGCATATTTACTTCAGACAGTGACACCAGTTTTGTCATATTCTGTATCTGCTAACAGTCTAGATAAATGATGGTCAAGGCTTCTGTGTAACTGTGAGAATTAATGCAGTCTGCTGCACCAAATTTCTGAAATGAGATCTTGAATGGGCCAATACCAGCTCATTTCACAAGAATTTTGTTGGCTTTTCAGTGGCCTACTTATTGCTGACCTGATCTGCATTTATACCAGAAACAGCAAAAGGTTCCATATTCCATTAGCAATCCATTTGTTTTCTAAAACTGAATATAAGTAGAATAAGAGAAGAAATACTTTAAAGCCTTGTACTATAAATATGAAGCTTTCTAACAGAAGCTTTATTTACTATTACGCATTTGTTCCACTTCCAAGTTAAGCTGCTATGAATAAATATGTTTAATTCGGGTTGCTTCAAGAAGAAAATAGTGTACAGAACCTAAAATCTAAACAAGTATTAGCAAGGTAAATTTTAAAGTTATATTCCACATTTCCTCTCTAAATTTGCAATTGTGCCACTGTGTGGCAAATTCTTCATCTGAATGTGCAGATTAAGAATGAGTACAAGTGAGAGATGAACATTAGAGAGGAAAAAAATCTTTGTACAACCCATTTACCAACAAATACCAATGACACCAGAGAAGACAGTTACTGTAAATTATAGTCTAGCTCTCCATTCAATAACTCACTCTACAGTAGCTGCATTGCAAACTGGCACTGCTGGAATTATCTTTTCCAGGACACCAACAAGATCTCTTCACAGCAGGCCTCTATTCTGCAGAATGTGATTTTTGTTAAATTGCAAACAAATGTGTGATGAACCACAAAGACATAAGCGGTCTCAATTTATTTTGCTGGACAAAGTATTAGCCACTAGCCCACTGGTCGATGTACTGATCACAAAAACCACTCAGCAGATTTTCTTTTGCCAAAACTATTCAGTGGACAAATTACTCTGGTAACTTCTTTCTTAGACATTACTAATGCAGACATTACATTAGTTGCCAACTCATTAGGTTACACAAAAGAAGGCTAGTTCTTTTGCCAATTTTCTCTCTCTTCCCATACACCTATTTCCAGGATGTCGGTTCTTTATTTAAAAATTTCACTACTGTATTCAAAAAACCACTATCAATATCCTGAAAACAGAAGAATGGAAAGCCCAATATCTGGGGCGCTCTATTCTCCAGAGTCACCCTGCTTATTTTGTAACTTAGTTCAGTGCAATCTTCCTCAGACTGATTAGTAAACAAAGATATGAATTGGTAAGTTACTAGTGATCAGTAACGAACAGTCCAAATCCATTAATGGCACACACTACTGTATACACCATTTTCCTCCACACATAAGAGCTGTTTCTCTATGTCTCTGATGCGGCGTGGGGGAGGGCACCCATTGCAGCACTGACTGAGCTGCGATAAAGCACAACTTTCATATCCACAATGTATGAAACGTGCACGATGGTCCCATCTCAATTTCAAAACTGCCACTTAAAGTCATGCCCAAAGTTTCGAGGGCTGCTGCTGCTGCAAGAGGCCTGCTAGGCAGGGAGTTTTTGATTAGGTGGCCGCTTTATATAGTACATGCACTCCGCCCGGCCAAGTCAACCCCTGCGTCTGCCCTGCTCCCTCCTCTGCCCTATCATGTCCCCGCGAAGCCCGGCTGCTCCCCTTGCCTGGCCCCCTCCGCTCCTCTCCGACTTGTCGCTCCCCTTCGTACCGCGCCCATCCCCGTGGTATCCGGCCCTCTCCCCAGCCCGCACTCCCGGCCGGCGCTCACCGCGATGATGACGGTGTCCTCTCCCTGGAACTTGGCGACGTACTTGTCGCCGCGGGTCACCTCGGAGTCGTTGAGGGGCCTGAAGCGACACATCACTTTGATGTTACATTCCGCCGGGTCCGCCATTTTAGGCCAAAGCCGCCGCCTTCGGGGCGCTCAGCCCGGCCGCCGCTGCCTCCGCGCCGCTCACTCCGGGGTCCTGCGAGCGGCCGCCGCCTGCAAAGCAGCGCCTCACTGAGCGGAGGGGAGAGGGGAAGGGCTCCTCCCTGGCCGCCGCTGCCGCCTCCTGCTCTCACTTCCTCCCCAATATGGCAGCCATGGCGGCGCCTGCAGCCGGCGAGTCCGGGCCCTCCCCTCCTCGAGCGGAGGCGGCGCCGACAGCAGGGCAGGGAAGGGTGACGTCACCCTCCGCAGAGCACACCCACCCCCTTCACCTCAGACTCACCGCGCAGGCGCGCGTCGAGGACAGCTCCGCGGCTGCCACCGAAGAGCTTCTTTGCGCAGGCGCACACTAGGCTGGACGGGAGGAGGGGGAAACATGGCCACCCGCAGACTCAAGAATCTCCTGCGCAGGCGCACAAATGGGGTTTGGGCCATGCCGTAGCGCAGGTGCAGTCATTGGGTCAAGGGGGCACATTAGAGATGGGGCGTGTGAACAGCATGGTGGGAAGGCGCGGTAGCAGAGGACGCCCAGCTTTCAGGCAGGGGGCGAGCGACAGGGATGCTGCCCAGGGGTCATTTACAAGGGTCTGTGTCTGTCAGTGCCATCCCCACTGTAGCTGGTCAGCCCCTGGGTTTCCCCCCCAGCAGTCACCCTGTTTTCAAAATACACAAACCAGGGCAGTTTTCTGACATCGTGTTTTAGCATCACAAAATCGTCATTCACCATGGTATGATATATCACAGATCCACCCAGCTGTACCAGGGGCATCTGTATGAAACTGCTCGCGAAGGCCTGGGCAATGGTGTCATGTGCATAATCCGTGTGGTTTCCTATCTGTTTGAAATCATGTCCACGTGAAATCGTAATAGGAAGCCATATGTGGCTTCTGGACAAATCCCTATGGCTCTGGCAACCACAGATGAGAGGCGGGGAGGGAGCACCATGCCACTACATATCTTCACCAACTGCCCTGGAGTGGCCAGAACAGGAATTTTACACAGACTAGACCAGGTCATCACTTTTCAGACTCATTGCAATGTTGTCACCTGACAAGTAATGACAGGCTTTGCCGTGAACAATGGCTGGCACAAAACACACTACACATTGAAAGAAAATGGGTGTACAAAGCATTTCATATAGGTATTTGGGGTACCATATGTAAGGTAACATAAGAACGACCATACTGGGTCAGACCAAAGGTCCATCTAGCCCAGTATCCTGTCTTCCGACAATGGCCAATGCCACGTGCCCCAGAGGGACTGAACAGAACAGGTAATCATCAAGTGATCCATTCTCTGTCGGCCATTCCCAGCTTCTGGCAAAAAGAAGCTAGCAACACCAACCCTGCCTGACTAATAGCCATTGATAGACCTATCCTCCATGAATTTATCTAGTTCTTTTTTGAACCCTGTTATAGTCTTGGCCTTCACATCTTCTGGCAAGGAGTTCCACAGGTTGACTGTGCATTGTGTGAAAAAAATACTTTTGTTTGTTTTAAACCTGCTGCCTATTAATTTCATTTGGTGACCCCTCGTTCTTGTGGTATGAGAGGGAATAAATAACACTTCCTTGTTTACTTTCTCCAAACCAGTAATGGTTTTATAGACCTTTATCATATCCCCCCTTAGTCGTGTCTTTTCCAAGCTGAAAAGTCCCAGTCCCTTTAAACTCTAATCAATACAAACCTATTGGTTTTGTCCAGTTTAGGTCAAGTTTACCTACAGGGCCGCCCTTAGGCATACGCAGCATACCTGGCTGCGTAGGGTACCCAAAAATTTGGGGCACTCCTGGATCTTAGTGTCCACCCTTCCGCCTCTTCCTAACCCTGTTCTAATCTGACCCTTCCTGCAGGCTCCCACCACAGCTGGCTGTTGCAGCCCGGTGAGTCTTCCTCTGGAGGGGATCTAGTACTTAAAAGTGAAAACGCCTTCCAGCCTGCCAGACCGATTAGCACAACATTGAAACTGTTAAAGAGCCATTCAAGTGGCAATGAAGGCATTTAACACGCATTTGCCAACCCCCAAGTATATACTGTCAGTTTCTGAATTTACTGACAAAAACAGTTGTGCATGAGCTGAGGGGTGAAAACATTATTTACTCCGAACATGTTAGTCTACAGAACCTTAGTTTAAAATTTGATTTAAAAATATTTCGTTAGTGTGTTGCTGAAGATTATAATATCACATCTCTAAAAAATCCTTGCATAGATTTTAGATGCATAATCTGAGTATTCATCTTTAGCCTTAAATGCTTGGATCTTCAGACATATAGTTTTTTAAATAAATCCTTCAAAAGACCACTCTTATCTAAAATACACATGCGAGCCCGGGCTGCCGTCGGGCATTGGGGCACCAGTTTAATAATACTGTATAGGGCCCCATAAATCTTAAGGACGGCCCTGCTTACCTAACATCTTTCATTTTGTTTTGTCAAAGCAGTGGCAGGGATGTTGGAGAGAACTATTGAATAGCCAAGCTCATCATTGTTGTTCTGCCTCTGTGCTCCTGAGCTGGAAGAGAAGACAGCACAAGGCCACCCTCCCCCCCACATCCCCGCCCTCCACCTCCCCACATCAACTGACTCATCAGTTGGTTTTAAGGCTATAACAATTTTCGGAGAGAGAGTTAAAATTGAATGAAGTTTTAAATGTAATTGAAACACAATTAAATCCTTCAGTGTGGAGGCTCTCAAGAGGTGGTTCCAAGCAGGTTTTACCACCATGCTGGTTTAAATTAAGATATACTATGAGCTTTTTCCACTACTGGAAATTGGATCCAAGTACAAATTTACATCTCTGTTCAGTTTAGTCTGCTCACTTTCAGAGATTAGCAGCCTGCAAAATGGAAACTTTTAAAATGGCCTTGAAATTATTTTAAAAAATGAGGGAGTCCCTTTCTTAAATTAGTAAGATTTAGTAGGTCTAAATGGCCCCTAATGGTAGCTGCACTATTTATGGCTTTTATGAACAAAAATGGTGGCTGTGCTTATAAATTAAATGTGAGGATTATGAGTTTTAATGGGGACTGATCTGCCACACAGCATTGTCCATCCTCAAGATCCTTCTCACAGCAAAGACTTGGTTGAATACTATGTGTTTGTTGGGTGTAGGCTATTTAGATGAATCCTGTTCCAAAACTAGTGTGATGGATCTGCAACACAGGGGACTACAACTCTCACCAGCCCCTTCCCTACTGCATATCCCCTTCCCTTAGCCAGGTACTGAACCAGGAAGGGACCAGGCTCTGTTGAGAAGCAGCAGCCACATGGTGAAGGAGGAGTTGCAGAGAAGCTGAATCCAGAGAAGATCCTCAGGAAATAGGCTGTGACTGTCAGACATGAGAGCAGAGTGCAGGTCTGGGTGGGACTCATAGGGGAGCAGCAGTGACTGGGTAGGGAGCCAGTGCAGAGGGGCCCAATGAGAGGCATTAACTGAACCTCGCCTGGAAATCTGCAAGTTCCGATTTGCTTGAATATAAACTGGACTGGATCATGCACCGCTAGGCCTGAAGAGCCTTGACTGCCCCAGTGGCCCAACCAAGAACCGCTATTGCTCACTTTGAGCTGTAACTATTCAAGCCTCTGTACCTAGGGTATTTGCAAACTTCGGCTTTCCTGCCAGCCCTAGTAAAATACCTTTTCACATAGCCATGTGTCTGAATGGTTACGGAGACTCAACAGGGCTAATGTCTACAAAGCCTACCGGCTGAAGAACCTACAGTGCTTGCCTCAGAATAGCAGTGTACATGGCATGCAACTGGCACCCTAGGGTTTGAGGCACTCAGACACCGTGCAGCTCCAATAATTATACTAGCGCATCATGGCTCATGCAGCTGGGAATCATTCTAAATATTACCAATTGTCTAAATATATCCAGAGCTGTTTTTCTCACTTTAATACATGATATAATTTGTTAAAATCTAGTTCTGTGTTGTGAAGCAAGTTTTCAGTCTTCTCAATCAAAATCATGTTGTAACAAGTCCATCTTTCTGCTCTAGTTAAAACCTTTGCAGGAGCAAACTGTCTTAATCAGGACAGCAACAGCTACACCTTCCAGCCACATAAGTACTGTATGCAATAATTATTTGCTAGGCACAGGGTGTGAACGGGGCACTGATGCTTGATGCAATCTAACATAAGAGGTATAGCATATGTATGTCACTCTAAAGTCGTGTTTATCTTTAATTGTAATAAAATATTGTAAACATAATGGCTGCCAGCCTTAAGAATATGCCCTCTATATTTCTAAATAAAAGAGCCTATTTCTGTTTATTGATAATTTCAGAACTGTGATTAGATACTTAAACACATGCCTAACTTTAACCGTTATTAGGGTTATTCACGTGCTTAGAATTAGGCATGTGCTTATGTACCTTGCTTAAAGAACACGGAGGTAAATTATTTGTTACAATGTAAATTCCTTTTCTTTTTCTATCCATTTCCAAGCAAAAACAAATATACTAACAGCAAAATCAACAAGCTTTCCCCTCCATGGTTATTACTCACATAAACAATTGTTTCAACTGCTGAGACATCCTTTATTTTGGTCCATTTAGGAAACTTGTAATTATCATTATCCAGAACCAAAGGGAATATAAATCATTAGCTAAATATGATGAGATACTGTGCATAATGTTAAAACAACTTCAGTACAAGAGCAGGTTTGCAGTAGCTTGCCCCCAAGTACTCCATAATATTCTAGTGCTAAATTGAAGTAATTCGCAAGAAATTACATGAAGGGGCCAACTGTTAAACTTTTAAATGTTTTAAATTGTGTAAACGCCACAAATACACAGAAAGGAAGCATGAAATAAATAATTACCAATATCTGAATTACTCTTGAACAAAAGATATCTCGAAGAGTTGGCTCAATGTATCATTAAAAACGCTTTTCACTTTATGTTACCAGTTTCATGCAAACTCATTGGAATATTGGTTGACAATACTTCTCATATTGGGTGAAATGAGTTCTGCTGAGCCTTAATCAATTCTTAAGAAGTAGTGTTCCCATCACAAAAACACCTTTACAAAGTTTCAGAGAAGCACAGGATTAGTAGGCATAAAGAATGAATTTTTTAAAGTCCCCAATAATTTTCCAAACAGATTCCTGGGATTATGTCTTTGGCAAGTGTAGAACCTGTACTTTGATATTTCAATATATTTCAATATATTAAGTAGTAA